GTATCCTTGGTGATGAGTCCAAAAGGAAGAAATACATGTAAAATGGAAAGGTATCATTTCAAGGTACAAGGGCTTAAGTATTCTGAGGCCACATGCTGTTCCCTAGCTCCCACCACATCTGCTGAGAGATGGTGGAGCCAGGGAATATTCATGAGGTCTGAGGAGCAAAGCATCCCCAGCTGTTTATTGCCTCTGAACAAATTACAACACCAAAAGATTTCAGTTTTCTTCCAGGGGAACATAAAATGAACCCTTCACTCTGTATGGCCTTTAAATTGCTTCCAGGTCTAAAGCCTGCCTCAAATATGTGTCTGGTTTCTCAAGGTTCTTGCACAAAGCTTGCTAAAGTGTTTAAGCCTTCTTCTCTGAGAATAATTGTAGAAATGTTGCAAGGTTCACATTCTTGAGTAAGAAAGTGTGGGCTTGTTGTAGATCCATACACAAAATGGTTCCTTATAGTCCATTTACAGAGTATATAATTATGGGGATATCTGTTTCTCTTCACATCCTTCTTTTCACTCACTGATAGCATAACTTTATGATAAAATTCCAAAGAGATTGCCTACAGAAAGCAATTCCTGCATTGCTAAAACTGCAGCTTACATATCTTCTTTTATGTTAATTTTTCCCAAACTGAAAGCAACACATTTGTTGGTAATGTGTTTTATATGCTTATGTCAAGACATAATATGACTGTGTATATTTTTAACTTGCACATAATAGTAGATGAATACCACTGAGTAAGGCAAAGTCTACCACACAGAACTAGGTGAGAATCTTAGAAAAGTACAGTCCAAGTGTTACACTGATTGTGCCAATGGATTCTTTATCATTTTGCTCAAATTATCCTACTGACTGATCATTTTCCTTTGACTCTATTTCATCCATGGGTAATTTCCATAAATTTCATAACCTATGCATACTTCATAAATTTCATAGGCTTGGCATTAATTTAAGTAGTATATCATTTATTTTTGAAACTCAAATGACTCTTTAAGGGTCTATTTTTGAGAAGTTGGTAGTCCAAAGACTGCATAATTAATAACTGCAAAAGCAAGTAGTCATTGCACTATTTTGATAGACATGTTAATAGATTTGAAGCAGTCATTAACATTATATTTGTACTTTGTGAAACATAAAGAATTAAAGGTCTAAACCTCAGGACCACTAGATGCATATTGCCCATTTATAGTGGTGCATTAGAATAGTCAAGACTGGCCTACAATTTTTTTTTATAATAATGTAATTTCCTTAGCTTGTTTTCACTGTAGCATTAATGGTTATTTTGTAAATGGTTCCAGTGATCAAAGAAATAAATTACTCATGCTTTCTTCAAAATGATGTTCTGTGAGATTTTGGCCAAAGAATGAGGGTTAGACATCAATCTTTGTGTTGTATTTTTAATATCCACTATAAGGATACCACATGCAATAAATTGGATTGTAAAGTCTACAGCTAACAGTATGTAGGTACTGATTATCCCACTGTTTCTATGTTAGATGAGAGAGATGAATGGCTGGTCATTTTATAAGGAAGATGAATGATTATCAAACAAAATTTTCCAGTGAAGTCAGAAGAACTGCACACTGGAAACAGTAGTCTAGATACTTGAACAAGGAAAGGTTTAGTTCTAATAAATATGCTTCACTTCATTTCACATGCTATATCATACAGTATCTTCCCTAATATATGAAACAATGGCTTGATTCTGAATCAGCAAAGGCTCCGTCTAAATATCTATTTTATATTTTAATAAATCCAAATTATGGCAGTGGCCAAAAACTATTGATTCAGAACTATTTCCAACTGGTCTAAGTAATTATCTGAGTGCCTAATTTTTGTTCAGCCACTTACTGAAAGATGTAGTTTGTGCCAACCCCCACCCCATCAGATTAGTAAAAGAATGGACCAAGGACATTTACAATTTCTGCATATTTGATGCAATGTTTCAGGTTGTATGCATATTATCAGAAGAAAAACAATAGGGTAGAAAAACCAACCCTCCTCATAAAATATGTGAAACGTGTATACCTTCAGACTTGGTTTGCTTCTCGAAGAGACTTTCTCATGCATGCTAGCCTCCTTCACCACCGTTCTCTAACAACTTGGCATAGATATGGTAACCATCTTTATAGCTCTGTATAAATCTGAGTGGACGCCCAACTGAGTCACACTCAGAAGGGGCCAAAAGATGTCTTTGGTGCATAGCAGTCTCTCCCTCACAATGAGAAAGTCACATGTATATTTAAGGTATAATACAATTTCTGAAGAGAGAACAGTTTGCAAAGTGTAGAGGCATCTTCAGTCAAGAACCTCCAGGCTTAAGTGGGCTAACACATGCCTACAACCTTTGTAATAATTGTGGTGGAATGGTTTTATGAAGATCCAGGAGACTCTCACAAATATCCTCCCATCTTTGGTTTTTATATGTTCATCTGTTTGTCTCTTTTATTACAGTGAGAGCACTGCCTTGTGTTAAGAATATTAGGTTACTATAAATTCTCTTACTGGTTTCTTAGCAGTTTTGACTTAGCTAAAATTTTTAAATATACTCAGAGGAGTATGCTAGAATAAAGTTCCTAAAATGCATCGTGAAATATTATTACAGTATTGTTCTCACTATGGTGAGATTGGGTTAAAGACTAAAGAGTTACATCTCTCACACACCCTTTTTTGTGACTTTATTTTCAGAAAAAAATAGTTCTAAACTTATGCATGGTTTTCAGTTCCTTCCCAATGATACTCATTGTTAATGATCAGAACCAAATGATGAAGCTACTTTATGAGGGTACTTGTCTCCCACCAAAGAGACACAGAGCGGACTCATAATTAGCAGAATCCCACTGGACTTGCTATCTGTGCTTCTGGCACATTGATAAAGCTGAGATGTAAATTAAGACCCCTCAGGGCCTTTGCCCATAAGTCCCTAGTAGAAACTCGTGGTCTCTAAGCAACAGCTCGACTCAGTGAGCCAGGGAGAGACATGCTCTAAAGGCCACACTAGGAACTGTGCTAGAACAGTCTCAGCTCAGAGTTGCTCTGATATATTTACTAATGGCATTTCTACAGTAGATGCCATGTGTTAAAGAAAATCAGAGGCATTAACCCTGAAAAGTGGGGTTCCAGGGAAGACTACATTTTCTCCTCAGAAGGACCCAGGCATTTGCTCTTCTGTTGTGTCAGCAAAATCAACAGTGTAGAGTTTGGATAATTTTCTTTTTATCCCTGAAGGCTTACGATAATTATTTTTCACGGCCACATTAACTCTTATGATTAGTATCTTTATGAGGTTTTTATACCTATCCAAGTGATTTGGGGAGGGTAGGCAGTTGCAGTAAGTGCTCATTTATCAAGGAGGAATGCATAACCATTTTTACTCAGTAGTAATTCACGGAAGGGAGTTGTCAATCTTCTGGAAATCTATGGATAAGGATGAATGAAATCTTAATGGGAATCAGCAGAAAGGTACCCTTTTAGTAGACTAACTTCAATAGGACATTTTGCTATCAAGGAAAAAGTCATGCTTTCCTCTTGCTTGACCTTGGCCTTCTGTTCTTGAAATCTGATCTGGACTCCTTGAGAGATATCTGGTTTAGGCACATGTCACCATGTTAGTCAAGCAGAGTAATTTATGTTTGCAGTCCCTAAATTGTGGGCAAACCTATCTGTGTGTACCTGAATCAGTCAAATTTTTGCTCTTCAAGTAGAATTTCCTTCCAAACTTGTAAGTTTTTCATATTCTAGAGCTTGAAAAATTTTCAAGTGAAACATTTTCTCCTGTCATCTCAACCAATCAAGTTCAGTAAAAGAAAAACTCAAGCCAAGCAAGTTCTAATTCCATACCAAATGCTAAGCCCTTATGACCTTTGCAAAAATTCATCTGTGAAATTGAAAACACTAATGTCTACTTTTCTATATCATTTGTCCTTCTTTTAACTGTAAGATTAAACTGTAGTTTCATTTTAAAGGTAGCTTTGTGTCTTTCTCAAATGTTTTGGAGTCTCTCTTTGGAGTTGCAGATTACACCAATTTCTTAGGTAGCTCAGATGTTTGGCCAAGGAGAGAAACAGTCAAGCACAAGAATGCCAACCAGACAGACAGCATAATGGGCATGCATGGCAGCTGGGCTGGTAATCTTGTTTCCAAAATGTTCCTTCTTGTGTGTTTTGCTCACAATCTTCATAGGATCAGGGTGGGCTACAGAGATACTGCCGCTAGTAGGGAGCCTTTTTCATTTTCTAACAAACAGCACTGTTTTAAAAATAGCTATTCAACATATTTTTAATTTTAATGAAAGAAACAGTTTTCAATAATTTAAATGAGCATATCCTGTAACCCTCAGCATATTTGATATATCCTAATCTGTAGATAGATATAGCAATCTCTCTCTCTGTCTCTCTCTCTCTCTCTCTCTCTCTCTCTCTCTCAATAAATACAGGACCCTTCTTAATGGAGTATTCTAATTTTACATCCCCTTAATTGTCACTGGGTTTGTTTACATGGAGAATTAAGATGCCATGTGTAAAACTTACTTGATCTGTTTCTGTCAAAAAAAAAAGCCACAGAGCTTACAGTGGGTCATCATTATGTTTGAAGACAGGCTCTGTGTAAGACAGGCCTTGTGTCCAAACAGGAGCACACAGAACTAAGGACAAATGTCAGTGACCACCCCCACCCAGGTACAAACTAGAGTGAGCAAATTTCCCAGTGCCAAGGCTTCTGCTACTGTCAGACACAAAGAATTTTTCTTATTTAAACAAGTATTCATATTATTTGTTTTTTTTGTAAAACATAGATTTCCCCCATAGAAATTCAATAAATAAAGGACTTAATCACTGAATCAAGGAAGCAGAACTCCATTTTCTAACCTTCCAGTTGGGACTTGTCCCTACCAATGTTAATTTGTACTGCAACTGGTCTTCCAGGAGGCACAGGGCGAAATGACCCCATGGCAGGTCCAGGGCAGACTATGTTTGCTGGTCAGTGGTGGCCTCTGTGTGTCATTGAATGAGGCTGGAGCTATAGCTGAATCCATAGCTGCTGGACCGTGACAACGGTGGCTGAGCCTCTTCGCTCTGTTCTGGAGAATAGCTGGGAAATGTCTGTGCACGGGACATCTTTGATGAGCCAAACCCATGACCTGGAGAAGAGGAGAGGAAAGCTGTAGTAAGAAACACATCGGAAAAAGCAAAGAGCATCTGTAGGAAACAACAAATAAACCTACATCAAAGATGTCAAGAATCTGGCCTTTGGTATCTTGATTCTTTTCTTTAACTTAATACTGGAAATTGAATATAGGGCCTCTCACATGCTAGGTAAGATATTTATCCCCCCCTCTCTTATTTTGAGACTGGGTCTTAGTACACTGCCAAGGCAGATCTTGAACTTCTGATCCTCCCCTCAGCCTCCCAATTAGCCTTTATTACAGTCTTATCACCATGTTAGGCTTTAGTTGTTGATCTTTGATGAGTTAAAAACATATTCAGGCATCAGTATTTTTCCCAACTCTATTTTTCTTAGAATTCTGGACAGCTAAAGAGCTAGGTTAATTTTTAGGACTCTCAATCATCCCCTCTGCAACCTTCAAAATAAAAGCAGAAAATCCATTCCCCAGAAAGATATTTCTGACAGAAAGCCTTTTAGATTCTTTCTCTTCCCTTATACTCACTTTCTGAAAACAAAAGCTAATGAAATGCTTTCTTTGAACCATCTGTGAAAAGACAATTTTTATTTTACCCTCATCAGTAACAACCAATTACCAAAAAGGTTTTACAATAATAGGTTAGAGGGTTCTGCTTTCTCCCAGGAACTTTGTAAGACCCTGTAACTGAGGAATATCTTGATCCACCAAAGTGATCTGATTTGATGGTCACCAAAGTGTTTTAAGAGTTGACACTTACACAACCCCAAGAAAATTCTGCACATGCATTTGGCTGTTTAGCTGATACTGTATGACACAAAATTGTCTAATGGAAACCAAAGCAAG